AGAAAACCAATCTAAACCATATTCAATCACATCTTAGGCGCTAGACCAACACCTAACACTTAGATCGCCTAGGCGCGCGGGGCTTAGAAATTAAGACTACATGTCTTATTTTCATTTATTTTTACTACCTAAAAAATAAAAATATTTCATCTTATAATAAATCTACGCACCTATGTCTAAATAATAATATTAATATATTATAAAGAAAATATGATAGCAATTAGCAACTCACATGACCACAAGTGATATTATAATAACCACAATCTCAAAACAAACTCCAAGTCCAAATATTTAAGTACATAACCACATGATGAGTCATGACTCATGACCAAGTCCCTCAAGAGTCTACGTACATAAAAGAGAAATAAATAAATAAATAAAAAAAGACCAAAACACTACTAAGAACTAAGAAGTAAGAACTATATCATAAAAAACTCAAGCATCATATAAAGTTCATGCTAGTTTGCGTTCGCCTAAACTTCATCACTGTGAAGGAGACGTGAAACTATTGTATCTATGGAGACAAGATGCTTGATCCCGTAAACACTACATGGAGTGTTTTTCATTTTGCGAGCTTGATTCTTATATTGCCTTGACTTCCAGTTTGGCAAGTTTAAATTTCTTATTTCGAGTTCAATTGTAAGAACTGAAATCATTACTTTCGATGGGTAGTTGTTGTGGTAATTCCACACATTTTCTAACATGCTGGACAGCATTTTTTCGGTATATATCACTAGCGTTGGATGGATAACAGGGAAGAAATAGATCGGTGCAGTTATCGACACTTTCTTTGAACTTAATTAACGCCAGCAGTAATGATAAATCATCATCTCAAGAATTGAAATACACAGTTTACCTAGTTCATTTTAGTTGCATATTACTAAAAATCATGCTGTTACTGGCACCAAAATTCAAACCCAACAGGTATACCTTTTTGCCAGTACACGAAATCAACAAACACCACACTTTTTGGTGATCAAAGAACCACAACAGAACTGTACTGAAGAACAACAGAGCACAGTTAAGTCAAAATGGCTAATCAATCCTCCAAATCAATAAGACAAAATCATTTTTCAGACAAATGTGACTTCATATAAAAAAATTCAAACCAAGACCATTTCGTACAGTTGCAATTCACTTACAGAAACATCCAAGATTGCATTTCTTTAATCAGAATAAACTGAACATCCAAATTGAATACATAACCAAGATTGCATTTTCACTTCTACTTTAGTTTTTTCTTCTTTTTTTTCGTCTGAAACAGGAGCACCTTGTTTACCATCTTCATTACACCACACTTTTTAACTGATCAAGAACCACAACAGAACTATATGAAGAACAACAGAGCACAATCAACTGAAAATGGCTAATACATAGCCCTCCAAATCAATTAGACAAAATCATTTACTTGACAAATATAACTTCATATCAATATTCAAATCAAAACTATTTATACAGATGCAATTCTCTCACAGAAACATCCAAGATTGCATTACTTCAACCAAAAGACAGAGAATAAACTGAACACCCAAATGAATACATAATCAAGATTGCAGTTTTACTTCTATTTTTTGTGCTTTTTTTTATTTTTGTTTGTTCTTAGGAAACAGGGATCACCTTCTTTACAATCTCCTCACTGAGGGCTGTGATCTGCGAGTCGAGGGCTTTAATTGTCTCCTCCTTCTGCCTTTCAAGTCCAGCCAGCGCCTCTTCCAGCTCAGCCTCCACCTTATTCATCCCCTCTGCCAGCCTCGCCTCCACCTCTTCTTGGGTCTCCTTTTTCATCTTGTTCAGTGCCGCTGCTATCTCAGCCCTCGCAGCCCTCATCACCGCCTCTGCCTGGTCGTCAAGCGCCTTCACCTCTGCTGACGTGTCCTTCACGCTGTTGAGCTTCTCCCGGATGGCGGCGTCCCTCTCGTCCATGAACTTGCCGAGCGGGGTGTAGTAAACCTTGTCCAGCGCGAACATGAGGAACAGGAACTCGAGGGCGATGATCGGGAGGGTGAGGTTGAAGTCGAAGAGCGCCGCCTTCTCGATATCCGCCGCCAGAGACGGCGGCGCGTGGGCGAGTGAGAATGTGGTGGCAGCGGCGAGGAGGGAAGGGAGCTGGTGGGGTTTCAGGAACTTGGGCAGGGCTATTTTGGGGAGGGTTAGGCGGCGGAGCATGGGCTTAGGGGCGGCGGGAATGGAGGGGGTGATTAGGGTTTTGTGAGAGGCCATGATCATGTTAGCCATGGCTGAAGCTCTATGCAGCTGCTCTGTGAGATTTGGTTGTTTTTTTATTTTTATTTTTTTGGGGGGTTTTTTTCTGTTGATTGGGCGCTTGAAAAACTCAAAATTTCCCAATTTCTTTTCTTTAATTTTTGCAGAAATGATTGGTGAAGGGAAATGAATATCTTGCAAAGGCTATCCCTTCCTGTGCCACACAATACGATGAGGTTCTGATTTCAACCTAAAG